TCTTTTTTAACCTTCTGTGTTTTCCTTGGGTTTTTGGTGTGTTTTTCTTTTGTAACATGGCAAATATGGAAATATGTTTTATATGGCTTCATATGTATAATCGACATCAAATTGCTTGCCTTCTCAAGAAGGGGGTAGGAACAGAAGGGAAGGAAAAAATTTGGAACTCAAATTTTTAAAAAATGAATGTTAAAAAATTTATACATGTAATTGGGAAATATTTTTTTCAAAGAATGTATGCTGTTAAATACTTTACAAAACTTGAAATAATAGCAAAATTCATTTGGAAAAAACAAAAGATCTAGAATATCAAGGGAAACGAAAGAACTAAAGATGAAGGGGAAATAGCAATTTCATATCTCAAACTATATTATAAAACAGCAGTCATCAAACCTATCTGGTATCGCTTAAAACACAGAGAGAGCAATGTAATAAACTAGACAAGGAGAATCAGAAACAATGGAATTCAACAACTCAGCATTTGATAAGGTGGAAAACATAAATGACCTTAAAAAAACCCTCTCAATTTGATTAAAAATGGCTGGGAAAACTGGAAAGAAGTCTGGCAGAAATTAGACCAGTATCTACACCATATTCCACAATACATTCTAAATGGATATGCAACCTTTAAGAGTAAAGATTATGCTATAAAAAAAATTAGAAGAGAAGCAAATCATATACCTCTCTTAGCAATGAGTATAGAGGCAATTACAAAAGATAAAATAGATGACTTTGATTACATGAAACTGAAAAGCTTTTGCACATATGACACTTGTCGCGACTAGCTCAGTACCTCGGATTCATGGACTACCTTGAAAAATAACGTCCAGCTTTAATCTTCTATCTCAGAACACATTGAAGAGGCGGGAGACAAGATGGAAGCAACTCCATTTATTCAAGGCACAGCACAGCGTTTTTATATCTTTGACTCATGGGAACATACCCCAATGTAACAGCGGACAAAGCGACAAAGTTTACATCTCTTTACCAATAGCAACACCGAGGATTTTTCTCATAGGAATACCAAAGTATCAACAAGCACATCTCTTTGCAACATTATCCTGGCTGTGTCCTTCTCCGGAGCTGTTCAGGTGGAAACACCATGTACTTCTTGTTCCCAGAATGTTCCCAATACCTGATACCTGAGCTAGCAATACTTGATACGTATTTGTGCTAGAGCTGACTGTGCTTGAGCTGGCAACATTGTTTATGGTTGAGTTTGCCTAGCATCAGAGTTCTGCTGATCCGGAGGTGCAAGGTCCGTGGATGGAGAACCGAGCCAGGATATTCTGCTCGTGTACTAACACCCGAGACGGGCCTCCGCCCATCAGTGAAGTCTCATGAACAGCCTGTGGCCCTCAACGTCCTACAGACCCGTAATAGACACTAAAAATGCATCTAGGGTAAGAAGGGAAGTGAAAAAAAAATCTTTGTATCAAATTTCTCTGATAAGGGTTTGGCATCATATATGTAAACTATATATATATATATACACACATATATGTATGTGTATATGTGTGTATATATACATATATATGTGTGTATATATGTATATATGACTAATAGCCATTCCCTAATAGATAAATGATTGATGGATATAGAAAACCAGTTCTTAAAAGAAGAATTGCAAAGTATTCCCACCACACATAAGAATATTCCAAATCACTAACAAGGGAAATGCAAATCAAAATAACTCTGAGACTTCACCATATACCCTGAAAATTGGCAAAGATAACAAAAAATAGCAATAGTCCATGTTGAAGGTGTTGTGGAATGAAAAACACAAATATATTATGCTATCCATCTCACCTCACACCATCACCCTTATGATTCCGGTGTGAGAGGGTAATGGCTACACATGCTTCTTTTCATCTTTCCTCTGACTTTGCTGTTTGTATCTTTGCAGGCTGGCATGTGGCCATAGTATCACTCAAGCACCTTTGATTAACTAACTCTGAATCTAGGAAATGAAATGGAATGTTAGTCAAAATATTAATGTAGGGTGTGTGTTGCCCATGTGGACTATGTGACTGTCCACCTAGGTTTGTCTTAGTTTACTCACAGGGAGACATGAAGATATCTCTGGAATTTTGCCCAGTCTTCTCTGAGAGATTTTGATTCCTGCCTGGAAGGGAGGAAATTGGGACCAGGAAGCTGGCTTATTGTGATTTCTTACATCTGGGATCCGAGATTGGAATTATATCTATCTGCCACCCTAAATATTGCTAGTAGAGCAAAAATGATTTGTTCTCAGGTTTAAGCCACTTTCCTGGTCACCATCTCTTAATGGGTAAGCTATATCTGAAGACTTGGCTCCCTTCCCAGCAAATGCTAATTATACAAAGGCCATCACACATAGTGAATAGCAAATAAGCGTATTTATCCCAATGGATAGCAAACAGAACTCGAAGAAGTTATATAGATTAGAATATATCTGACAATATAAAGCTGAATGAGCTCTCCTACTGGGGGCAAGACATCTCACCTAAACTGGGAAAGTTCCCCCTTATATGCATGTATCAGGCTTGTAACCCCCAGGATTAAAATATATACAAGAAAAGGAATCTAGACTAATTACTCCTATGTGGAATTATTAATCTCTAACCATCTCCTAGTCATCTTCCGTTTCCCTCCCAGACCTTTGACTAGGAGGGTGATAAATCCCTACTAAATACATCCATGGTTCATGGAAAAGGAAGTGGAGGGCATTCCCCCTCCCTGTCTCAGACTCACGGATTAAAAAGAAAAATCATTTCCTCAGCTCACCAGTACAACAGGAGACATAATAGCTGGCATTCTCAGAAACTCTGGATCTTTTCTGCAATAAAATGACATCCCCCTGGTCACCACCTCTGCTCCAGGTACAGAGACTCTCCTCATGGCACCATGGCTTCTGGCCAGCACTTGTCATGAAGTCCCCGCCTCTCCATCTGGTCCCCAGTCACCCCTGATGCTTCTGTCTCTTTCCCAGAAGTGTAAACAGCAAGGTCAGAGGAAGAATGAGAAAAAGCAAAGAAGGGACATTACAATGTGCAGATACCATTCCTTTATACCATCACAGTGTCTTCTATCTCATTGCAAATGAGAGCTTACCAAGACCCCAAATGAGAAGTCATAACCCTTTCTTCCCAAAACTATAAAAAAAAAATGGCTCTATCACTCTCTCTCCATAGGGGACAATTCAAGGAGATAAATAGCACCAGCAGGAGCTGCAGATATAGAAGGAAAGGGGAGTGGAGTTATGAAGCTACAATCAACCTAAAACCTCTCAAATGAAGACCTTATTTTTTCATTTGTATCCCCAAAACCAAGCAAAGTGTTTTGCACATAATAGATGCCTAATAAGTGCTTGTTGGTTTAAATTAGATCAGTGTTAATTAGTTTAAATTCCGTAACTCCAAGAGAAAAAAATCAGAAATAGTCTCCTCTTATTTGCAAAGGAAGCAGACATCCAGCTGCTGCCAGTAATTCCCCAGTCTGTGTGGGCTGAGTTTAATGGGGAGTTGGGGGGATAAAAGGATGAGGGAAGTGTGGAACTGTCTGTAAAGTGTTTTCTGGAGCCTTAGCTGTCTCAGATAATTTTCTTTTTTTTTTCTAGAGAATTTTTTAAAGTTAATGTGTTTTTTGGGGGGCAACCACCCTACTCTACTTTCCTGGGACCAGATACTCTCTTTAAACTGCTGAAACTTCTAATTTACCCAAAAAGATCACTTAGCTTATTGTTTAAGCAAATGTCAGGGAAGGGAAAGACTCATTGCCAGCTGCCTGTTTTTCATTCTTCAGACACAAACCCCACCCAAACCACAATGTGGTATAACAGAAAAGAGCCAGACCTTGGAATCAGAAGGCCTGAGTTTAAGTCCCAGCTCTGCCATTAACTATCTGTGTACCTCAAGCAACTCACTTCTTTGGACTTCAGTTTCCTCATCTATCAAATGAGGGGGTGGATTAAATGATCACCAAGGTTCCTTTCAACTCAAATATCCTAGGATTCCTTTGTAATAGAGTCCATTTCTCTTCCCCCTATAGAGAATGCCCCCTTGTCATTGAAGGCTCCAAATGAACACATGGAAGCTTGTGGGGAGGAAATACTTCTGTCTCTGTATAACTCGTTGTTAAGAGGTTTTCACTGTGTGATGATGAAAAGTCCCCTAACTGGCTACCAAGCCAGAAAAACTGATGATTCAGGGGCTTTTAATGGGAGATGATAAAGAGTTTCCTAATTGGCTGCTCAGCTAGAACTCAATAAAGGGTGACCTACTGCTCTACTCTTCTCTTCTTTTTCAGTTATGAAGTCTTTTTGAGGATTATTGCATGCAGATGGTCATGTGGGAGAAAGATAGCAGCCCTGTCTCTCAGGTCCATGTGGACATGAGAACATGTCCCTTCTAAGCAAGGTCTGCAATGGGGCCACCTCTTTCTTGCATTTCCTTTTCTTAAGTAGGAGACTTGGTGAGTTTTGAAAGGTTTGGAAGTCTGTTTTTGTAGCAGCAGTAGTAATAGCATCCTCACTGCAGGGTGATGGCGCTTGAGGCCGTCAGAGCCACTGGAGTCCGTAGTGCCCAGGGAAATATGTCAAAGAGACTGGCCACCAGAAAGAAAGGACTGACCTAGTTGGGCTACTTTACCAATGGGTTATTCTATGTGTTCTGAAGGGAGAGGATAGAGGCAAAATGTAAAAACTGCTAATTAGCAGCCTTGCAAACTCTATTATGTCCCAATATTCTTGAATATAAACCTGGTATAATTAGCTGATTGTATTAGGTTTATAAGTTAAGTTACTAAATCCTGTTTAAAGGGTTTTGTTGCTGTTTGCTGTGATTCTTTTTATGGTTATCATTGCTTTCTGTGTAGGAGCTAATGACCTGTTCCAAATTCAATTCACATTGTGACCCAGGCTGGGCCCTTCAGGCACGTCTCCTTCCCTGGGAGCTAGGCTTCGGACGTCTCCGGACCCACCCTGGGGGAAAGGTGGGCTCAAGGACCAGACAGGACGCGAGTGTGGTGTATGCTCTTTATTGTGGAGGATCCCCCGATCCTTTGTTCTCAGCCCGTTATATAATCTGAGGGCGGGTCATGAAGGCTACAAGGATCCACCCCGAAGGCGGTGCCAACAACCCATTAGCGGAGCCTCCCCAGCACCTCATCCGGGATTGCCACGTAGCTCACTGCTGAGCCCGCAAGCTATCCCAGAAGAGGCGGGTCCCAACTCCTGGGGTGTCACCTCTCCATTCAGGTGTCCCCTGCCAGCCCCCAATCACCTTTACCTCTCCATTCCGACATCTCTTACCAGCCCCCAACAACCTCCCCCTTTTTGTTTAAAGAGGATGGGTGCTGTTAGCATTACGGAATTCTGCCTTAAGGGCTGCGAGGGATCTTTTGAGAAGAGAAAGAAAACAAGAAATAAGGCATGGGAGGAAAACACATAACAAAAAACCTCCTACAAGTACAAGAGCACCATGGAGGATCCATTGGAGGACATTTTGGTATTGAAAATCGTCCCACCATTTAACCGTTTTGGAGATTGAGTCCTCCCAATCTTGGGAAAAGTGCAGGGTAGCATTCTCTATGGCCATGATGATCAAATCCAGCTGCTGAAGCTCGGTAGCAAAGACAACGCCTGTGGTGGCGTTGCGTAGAATGTCCTCCAAATCATTATACATGGTTGAATTATAAGGGATAGGGGTTACACAAACAGGGCGATATTTATAATGACATGACAAGCGCATATAACGCAGCATAAAAGCTTGTTGATGTAACAATACTTGCACAGTAGCAGAAAGGGTAGTGATTTGTCGTTCCAAGAGACGGTCGAGTGTCTCTTGATGTTTCCAGGCTTGACTTTCTAAATGCATGAAATGCTGCAAGAACTCTGCTAAGAAAGTGACTTGTTTATGTAATTGCATTATTTGTGTCTCTTCTATAATTGAAAGGGCTAGCGCAGCTACTGCCACGATGTCAGTGGGATCAATATCCCGTTTAACCAGTTTACATAGGAGAGAATCCGATAAAGACAATGCGAATGGATCGGCTCTCACAGGGTGAAGAGTAAAGGGGGGTACACGTAAAAGCAGGACGATAAAAGAGGTATGGGAGGTGTTAAGAGTGTTAGTCAAGGTAGCATTAGTACAGTGTATAGTGTAACCGGTTTTGTTATTTGCCTGGGGCACGATTGAAATGGTGAAGTTCCCTGGAGGGCACAAAAGGAAAAGAGCATCAGGTGTCGTTTGTGCCTCGGCTGTAAAAGTATAACAAAGAATGTCAGTAGTTGTGGTAGCATTCGTCTCATGACAAGTACTATTTTTGTTCCCAAAAATCTTATGCCATGTTGCAAAAGGAAATCCGTGCTGTACTTTGGCAGCTGTCTGATTGTAGCGGACAAAGGTAGGATGAAGAGCAAGACCTGCCTTCCACCAATGACTTTGCAAGGGTGCCTTCTCTTTAAAGGGGATGGGTGCAGGAAGTATAGAAGTTTGTGGATAATTATCGGCAAACCATATAGATTCGTTAGTATTGTTCAACCTACTAAAGTTTCCTGTACTACAAGCATGAAGGGGTTCGAATATATGAGGGGCGGTAAGTGGACAAGGGGGTAGCGAAGTAGTAACAGTATGGTTATTACTGAAATTGCGAATCAAAGAGGCGAGAGTTATGTTTAAGGAACCATAAGTAGCATTCAATAACTCTGATTCTAGAAAGGAAGGTTGGGAAATAGACCAATTTGAAAGAGGATAGCACAGTTGAGAAATGCTGCTATTCGAGATATTTGAAGGGGATAAGCACAGAGGCAACGCCGCAGAAGTCCAAGTAACGTTCATTCCAGTTTTGGAGATAATAGGAACCGCCAGTCCCAAGTCACCCGTTAACCAAGATGCGTTGCCAAAGAGGAAAAGTGGGCTTGCCTCGTGATTCCACGTCATGAGTTGAAAAATGGGCAGATGTGGTGTTAGTGCCCAGTACATAGGTGTCTCTGTCTCCAATGAGACCCAGGTAGTGTTAAATTGGTGTAGGTTGATCACAGGGGTTGGACATTCCCAAACGACCAGCAAAAGAGAGAGCCATATTTCAGGCCTCATTATCCCTCCCGTGCCTGTGGAAAGAAAATAACCGGAGTGGAAACGCAAGAAGGTTCGTTTCTATATCTCCTCTGGCGGCGCACATGGCAGTCCCCGCGGCGCCCCCTCTTGTGTCTCCTTCTCCTGGTACGCCTTTTCTTCTTTTTTCTCAAGTTCTCTGGCCCACCGGACAGGGATCCATCTTCCTTTATCATTGTCCTTTTCATTCTGTGGAGACACAAAGAGATAACCCTTCCCCCGGATAGTTACTCTATCTGGACCATGCCACACACCCTCAGGGTCTCTCCACATAACAGAAGCGCCTTGCTCCAGCAGCTCCTGCCGTGGGGTCAAAGACGGTGCGTGCACACCGGTATCACGTGGGCGAAAAAACCTCTCAGCTCGGGTTAGGCCATCATCAGTCACTTGTAAGAAATTTAAAGTGAATAAAACCTGATCAAGGAGGGCCCTGGTAAGTCTGCCTGGGATTCCCCCTTTTTGTTTAACAAGAAGCTGCTTCAAAGTTTGGTGGGCTCGTAATATGTCCCGCCCTTCCGCACTTAAAACAGCGGACTTGTGGGGTACCCTGGGTACATTGATTCTGAAAATGACCTGTTTTCCCGCAACGGAAACAAGTCCCCTTTGCTCTAGTCCCCGAGTTAGCTGCCTGCGCTGCAGCGAAAGCTTCTGTCAGTACCTGGATCATGCCTGCATCAGGTAAGGGACCTTCCTCCAGGCAGACATCAATGCATTCTTCCCATGTGGGGTCTGGTGGTAACTTTGACAACAACCCTCGTGACTGTTTAAGTCCTTCTTTGAAAAGCTGTATCAGCAGCTTTTGGGCAACATCTCCTGCTCCATATCTCTTTTCCACAACCTCTTGTGCTCGGGACGCGAATTCCATGGCACTTTCTTTTGGCCTTTGCACGAGTTTGTTTAAAGGAGGTTGCGATTTCTCCCCTAGTCTATCCAATGCTTTTAGCGCCACTATCTGGGCACCTTGTATAACAAGGTCTGGGAGTAAAAGCTGTGCCTGCAGCCCAGCATGCTGGCCATACCCAGTTAGCATATTAATGGTATCTTCTACATTCTGAGGGAAATTAACCTCCGCCCAGGCCCTAGACTCTCGGCGTCTATACGCCGACCAGGCGGTGTAAGCAGCACTCTCCAATACAGCAGACATAATTTCATCCCAATCCCCTGGGGTCCAAGCGGCCACAGCCACAGTAGATTGCAACAGCTGCTTAACATAAGAAGAGCCCGCTCCATATACTTTTACTGCCTCTTTCAAATCTTTCATGAACTTATAGGGCACTGGTCGGTGAGACCGACCACCTCCTCCGGGACCTCCCTGGACAAAAATCGGGAATTCCTGTCCCCACTCTTTCCAGTCTACTACCTGCCCGTCCCTAGCGGCCTCTCGCAATGAGTGCTGTAAAAGTGAGGCCTGCGGGGTCTGTTCGTTCTTCCCTCTTTTGTCAAGCCGCATTTGGTTTATTTGGGCCTGTAGTTGCTGTATCTGCATTTCTAACTGCGCCACAGGCGGAACTTCCTCTTTCTGGAATTCTAACTGCGCCACAGGCGGAACTTCCTCTTTCTGGAATTCTAACTGCGCCACAGGCGGAACTTTCTCTTTCTGCTGCCAACGTGGCACATACGGGGGGAGCGGCTCCGGACTCGGCCATGGCGCGGACGGGATTTCAGGGGGCTTAGGGGGCTCAGGCCATGGCTCGTCTTGACCCTCAAGGTCTTGTTCCCCTCCTAATAAGGATGTTCCTACCTGTGTCTCCTCCGCTACTATTACCGGCGGAGGGCACGGAGAGAGGGCGAAAGTCACAATGCCATAAAGAGTAAAATCCTCTGGTTCTGTCTCTGCGTAGGAAGACATCTGACTCCCAACTATTTTCCATCTTTGATAATCAACCCCTTGGCTCTGTAACCACGGGGACACCACTATAAATTTTTCTACCCACTCCTGACAGCGTCTCAGCTGTATTTTTACCCCATTATCCCTACAAAGCTTATACACTTGTAGGACTAGCACTCGCTTATCCTCCGGTTTAATTCCTTTACTGTATCGTGCTCCCATCTTTCCCTCTATGCAGCCCCGATCTGCATAGGGGTGTCGGTCCCTTCCTCTCTTTCACTGGAGAGAGGGTACTTACCCGTACCTGGCGGGGTCGCCGAAGAGGAACTCAAGTCCCTGTTCGGGCGCCACTTGACCCGGGCTGGGCCCTTCAGGCACGTCTCCTTCCCTGGGAGCTAGGCTTCGGACGTCTCCGGACCCACCCTGGGGGAAAGGTGGGCTCAAGGACCAGACAGGACGCGAGTGTGGTGTATGCTCTTTATTGTGGAGGATCCCCCGATCCTTTGTTCTCAGCCCGTTATATAATCTGAGGGCGGGTCATGAAGGCTACAAGGATCCACCCCGAAGGCGGTGCCAACAACCCATTAGCGGAGCCTCCCCAGCACCTCATCCGGGATTGCCGCGTAGCTCACTGCTGAGCCCGCAAGCTATCCCAGAAGAGGCGGGTCCCAACTCCTGGGGTGTCACCTCTCCATTCAGGTGTCCCCTGCCAGCCCCCAATCACCTTTACCTCTCCATTCCGACATCTCTTACCAGCCCCCAACAACATTGGACATCAAGTACCTCTTTTCCTACTCCCCTTTTTAGGAAGGCTCTAGGCTCGAGCCAAAAATAACACTGTCCTTAAGACTGTTAGGTGAGGATTTAATGAGTTAACCAAAGTGAGAAGGGAAAGCTAGATCCCCTTAATTAGAAGCAAGTTGTCCTAGCATTGAACCCAGTATAAACAGCAATGGCAAGGACAAAATAGGGAATGGTACAAGTTGTCAGGCTTTATGAATCCTAGTCTAGTGCTGTCTCTATGCTAGATTTTTTCAGGTGAAGGTGATGGTGGTAGTTTTTTAGAAGAAGGGTGGTAAAAACAGGGAAATATTTATTTCCCCTGAATTTTATCTTAAAGGATGAACTGATAACTCTGGGAAAGTGACATAGGATCAGTGAGGTCTAAAACATAGGCCAGGATCTTTCTTTTTAAAAATCTGATTTTAATTTATACTTTTTTTACCTCATTCATTTCTGAATATAACCCTTCCCCCCCATCTACCAAGTCATCCCTTTAAACAATGCTTTTAGAAAGAGGAAAAAAAAATTCAGCAAAACTAGTCAACATATCAATTACATCTGATGTTATATGCAATATTCCATATCTAGAGTCTTCCCCTACCCCTCCTACAATTTCAAATGAGAATTTTTATGGCTCTTTAAGAACATTCTGCATGAAACTCTAAAATTTAACATTTAACTACTGGCTGGCTTTTTTTCTTTCTTTTTTTTTTTTTAGGCAATTGGGGTTAAGTGACTTGCCCACGGTCACACAGCTAGTAAGTGTCAAGTGTTTAGTCTGAGGTCAGATTTGAACTCAGGTCCTTTTGACCTCAGAGCTGGTGCTCTATCCACTGTGCCACCTACCTGCCCCACTACTGGCTGTTTTGTAAGAGGTATTGTATGTGGACCTTATTAGAGTGGTGAACTTGCTTTCCCTGTTACTCTCAGGGTGTGGATAATCTCATTGATTTATTATACCCATTCCACTGGACATTTCCTGTTTCCTCATCTGTAAAATTGGAATAATAATAGTACCTAGATCAAAGGGATAATACATTTCAAGCATTTGCATACTTTAAAGTAATATAAAAATGATATATATTATTATTTTTCCCCAGATGCTAGGAGCAATAGAGGGAAATCAGTCCCTTCAAGCCAAGTTCATCTTGGAATCTTCATTACCACCTCCTGAGTCTTGCTCTCCTAAATAGTGTCCTAGGACTAGTGTGCCTTTTACACATTTATTTTTTAAGGGGTGTGGGGTACAATAAATGGAAGGAAAATGCTTAAAATAAGTCAAATTAGAAAAAAATTCCCCAAAACTACAGGCATGGAGACTACCATGTGGAATCTAGGATTCCACAACCCTCTCTTGCTACATATTGAAAAACTCAGAGATTGAATTGGGAAGAAGTGGAACTCCAGATATTTAAAAACCAATTCTGTTTTTCTACTTTGAGGCAGATGCAAAATGAACTAGAGCGACCTTCCATCTTTTTCCTACCTTTCCCCTCAAAACCCACTATGGTAGATGAATCTTTGGGATCTGGACAGATTTATCTGGAAGAGGGAAGGGAAGGTTCTTCTTGCCTTAGTGTCTTGCTACGAGCCCTTTATTACACGCCTTTTTTTGATGTGTCACTGCTTCTTTTCCCAGTCCAGCTGGCTCCAAAGCTGATTTTCTCTCAATTTTCATGTTGGATTCCTAATTCGCAACTAGAATCCATTCTATTGTATGCTGACATAAAGTGGCAAGAAGAGAGAAGAGGAAGAAATCCTTTCCTTCCCTTGAGGACCTCTACTAGAAATACTACTAAGAGCTGGTTGTGTCAACTGACTGCTTAGAGAGTACGTTGAGGGGCATCTATGTGGTGTAGTGGATAGAGCTCCAGCCTTGGAGTCAAGAGGACCTGAGTTCAAATCTAGCCTTAGACACTTGACACTTACTAGATGTGTGACCCTGGGCAAGTCACTTAACCCTGATTGCCTAAGCAAAAATAAATAAATAAAAGAATTGAGAGTATGTTGCCAGCCAGTGGCTAGCTGTCCTTTGTTTGCTCTTCATTTTCAATGAGGACCAGTGACATCATGGGGTGATGTCTTGTCTTGTCCATGAACAGGATTTAAGGGAGGCAGAGTTGCACAGTTATAAACCTCACTCTCTTTTCCAGAGTCATCAAAGTCCAGTGTCAGGACAAAAGTCAAGGTGACTGGCAATAGCCAGGATGCAATGGATGACCTTGGCATGTTCCACGTCTGGCCTAGCCATATCTGACCAAGCTCTAAGCACTCCACAACACCTGCTTCGGCTGCCTTCATGGCCATTGGAACAAATTGTTATCATCAGTCATACTTGGGGTAGACACCCCCTTAACTCACCAATGGGTAACCTGTCAGTTACCTTTGTGGAAATGAAATGTGTAATGACTATTCCAACCATCTTGACTTCTTGGAACTGCCATATTATTCTGAACCAATGACTGACTGGACAGGGACAACTGCAAAGCATCCTCTGACTGAATCCTAGTGTGTTTCTGAGGCATGTCTTTGCTGATATCCTGCTTCTCAAGACCCTGTAACTTCAAGGCAAACATTCTAGAACAGTTGAGTCAGGTGTGCAAACACAATCTCACGAACTACTTTCAGAGAACTGTCAGGTTAGATGTTCAAACACAGTTCCAGGAACTACTTTAGCAAACATTTCCCCCTGATTTCCTTGTATTCTGTGATTTTTCTTTTGCACACAAAAGCCTCAGTTTTACCCTTCGTAAGTAGGTCTCCTCTCCAGAGGCTCTGCATATATGCTGTCTGTCCGAGAAATGAAACTTAGCTTCTTGTGCTTCTTACCTTGTCTCCCAAACACCTTTTTCTGACTTAGGTCCTTGGCCTTTATTCAGAGTAGGGTAGAGGTCCACACCCTCAACTTGCCTTAGCTGGCTGCTGTGCATGCAACAGCTTCTTGGGGTCACAGGAGAGAGTTGAGTGTCAAATGGACACCAAAGGTAGATGAGCAGCCCTGAAAAGGGCTCAGCAAACCCTCACACCAGGGATTCTAATCCTCCTTGAACACCCCAACTAGGGCCCTATAATTCTATCAAATTGATATAGAGACATTGGTCCCAGAGGAGCAATAAAGTTATACAGAGATTAAAATATTTCTCTTTTTTCAGTTGTATTTTATTTATTTTAACATTAATTTAGCATTTAGCATATATTTAGTATTTAGCATCTTTTAAACAAAATTTTAATATTTAAAAAATTTTAGTTCCAAGTTCTTTCCCTCCCACCTGCCATTCCCCCATCCATTGAAAAGGTAAGCAACGTGATATCAGGTGAGTTGGGAACACTCCATTGATCAAGCCTGGTACTGTAGTTTTAGAGTGGAATTCAACAAAATTAGATAAAATGACAACAGCATAAGCAAAGGTTATAACTGAAAAATGATTTGTAAACAATGGTTGGACGAAATAAGAAATCAGAAGAACAATAATTACTTAAAAGACAATGATTCTAACAAAAACATATATCAAAATCTATGAAATGGAGCCAAAGCTGTTTTTAGAGGTAAATTTATTTAAGAAAAGGGGAGAAAATGAAGTCAGAATTCATTGAAAAACCCTAGAAAAGGAACAAAGCTATTTTATTTTAGCATTCAAAGGATAGTAAAAAGAGAGTGATTACTAAAATTAGAGTGGAAATAAATAGTATCGAAACTGAAAGAACAACCGAATTAAAAAGTAAAACCAGGAAATGATTTTTAACCAACAAAATTGACAAACTATTAGCAATTCTAATGAGAGAGAAAGAAGCAAATCAGAAAAATCACAAGTGAAAAAACAGAGGTCACAACAACAACAAATCCAAGAATATTATTAGGAAATAATACAGATGGTTATAACAAATTAGAGAATTTAAAAGAAGTAAATGATTAGCTACAAAAATATGAATTGTTCAAACTCACACCACAGGAAATTAAAATTTTTAATAGATCAACATTGAAGGAAGAAATAAGAATCAAAGAATTACCCAACTGATGGACTTTCAGTTAGGGTGATGTCCTGCAGGATTCCACAGCGATGATTCCTCAGCTTCACCTGGCATGTGCAATAAGGTCTAGGGAAAAAAGCTTGTCTTCCCAGATCAGAAGTACCAGCAGTTTTTGAAGGTCAGGGAAAGAAAAATGGGTTGGTAATCTCCTACCATAACCCCCTCGGCTTCCAGAGACCATAAGAACAAGGTCCCAAGAGTGAAGGCCAAGGCTAAGCAGATCATCATGAATTCCCTAATTACAAACCAGATGCAAGAGAGTATTTAGTGTTTTGACCAGCAAGCCGGACTGAAGGATGCCAGATGTATTCCCCACAAATGCCTCACCAAAGAAGAAACCAAATACCATCCTGTGGCAGGGGCAATTAATGTTACTTCATCCATTGGCATCACTATCCCATTCCAAGTTGCTGTTACCATCTCAAAAAGCACTTTTTTTCTTGTCATCCTCTCAGCGTGAGGAAAGAGGCAGTTCCTTTCTTGCTTGAGGATTTCAATAGACCTGTCAACATTCTCTCAAACTGCCTGGCCTCCTAGTTCCATCAGCCTCTTTAGATCCCATGACTGATATTTTTATTCTAAGATACATTTACAGAGGTAGTCATGTACTAGAGCTCATCATTACTTATAGCTATACTACCAGAACACTGAAATTCTCCCTATTCACAACCTTATATCCTGCCTCACTTCTGTTAAACCTGTTGTGTGTTCTCATTGTGACTTCTAGTCCCTCCGTCCTCTCCCTGTTCTCCATATATCACCTGTGCTCTGGCCTCACTTTTCTTATTTTTAGTCTTGACCCTGTAATTAAGCTCTAAGCTCTTGAATCCTTTCATCCCTTGCCCCATTGCTGCCCTTTCTTTGCCAATGCTCATCCCTGTATCATCCCACCTTTCCTGCTCCTTCTCTAATGCTGCTGAATGGTGCTAGAGGGAATTATAAAACTATGCTG